TATAAGAGTTTCTATTTCTTGTCCTTCTCCTCAGGCACAGTGAGATGGAAGAAGCAGTAGGAACAATGAAAGAGAAATATGAGCGTGAAAAATCTATGCTCTTGGAAGATAACAAAAAGCTAACAACAGAAAATGAGAGGGTAATTATTTTAGGAAACATTTTTACGCAAAACAATTCTTACTTTGTTACTTTCTGATGTTGAAGTAGTCTACTCGTTGATGAGATCTGTAAATGTTCGTGCAATATCTGAATAAAACAAATGTAGTTATCACCATATAAATGTCAGAGATCTGGCTAAATAGTAACTTTAGCATCTCAGTACTGCTCTCTGTGGGATTGATTCCCACAACTCGGAGGGTACCACCGCCTTCTGATTTCTTCATGAAGGCCACACAGAGAGGGAAGCATTTACAAAGACTGCCTGCCTTCCTGATGGCTTACAGTTAAACCTCATTCCTCTCGATGGCCTCTACACTCGCTCTTTCTTTTCCTTTGTTTTGGTTTGTTTTTTGTTAACTGGCAGTGTGGTCTTCTATGCTCAGGAGCTAGTCTCCAGTTCCACAAAAAAACCCTCCCTTCCAGTTCTTTGGTCTGTGTTAGAACTTGCAGATAGCCCAGGGTGGTCTTGCTTGTTCAGATTCTGTAGGTGTGTAGACACATGCATATGTAAAAAGCCTGAAGCTGACATAAGCCATGGGTGAAATTTATCTCTTGTTTCAGCTTTGCTCCTTTGTGGACAAATTAACAGCACAGAACAGGCAGCTAGAAGATGAGCTCCAAGACCTAGCAGCAAAGAAGGAGTCTGTTGCTCACTGGGAAGCTCAGATTGCAGAAATTATTCAATGGTATGTGCTGTTTAGAGATCCAGATGGCCACTTTCAACTTTCAAAATATTGATTGGCTTGCTTTTTTAATGTATAGCTAGGCCCTTTCTCTGTGTCTGGGATCAACAAAAGCATGGTACTTCTGAGTGTTGATTAACTGTTTCTCTTCTGCTTTCTGGTACTGCTGCACAGTAATGACAAGTGAAATTGTCAGATGCTATTAAGTATGAAGGAGAGGGTTTTGGTGTCAACTTGCTTCAGTCTCTAAAGTGATCATTAAATCGCCCAATTTGAAATATTTCGATAAATTAATTCAGGAGGATGGTCATGATTTAAAAGGTCCATGTTAACACATAGAACCTCACCAGCTATACTAGACAAGCACTTAATTCACAGGTCAGTTCTTCCCTCTGTTGTTTGCTGTTTTAGCAAGCTGTGTGCAAGTATTTTCAGCATGCAAGACAAGAAGGACTTGAAGGTAGACCTTCTAAAAACTGAGCAAGCAATATGCAGATCATGTTACAAACAATAACAGTGAATCTCTGCGGAACTCTTGCTGATGGCAGAAGGGAAACTTCAGTTTCCCTAGCAACTGCCACAATCAAGAGAATAAGATAAAAGAAAAATCTAAAGCAGGCAATCTAAGATATATTCAGTTTTCTGTTGCTGGGAGAGTTTTCCCTGCTGTGTTCATTTCTACTAGGTCCCTAAATCCAGCGCAGACACTCTGATTATTTTGGTGGTACAGTATTTGGTGCTATGAGCCATGAAACTGTTAAGTAAGTTTTTTGTAATTGTACAATAGGGTAAGCGATGAGAAGGATGCTCGTGGCTATCTCCAAGCATTAGCTTCCAAGATGACAGAAGAACTAGAATCATTGAGAAGTTCCAGTCTGGGATCACGAACACTGGTAAGAAAATAGCAATCATTCAGGCTGTTCTGGGGACGTCTAGGAAGCTACTTTTATAGTTTCAGCTACTGTCTTATCAATATCTGTTCATAATCAGAATTCTTTTCTAATAAATCCTCTGCTCTGCTAATTACTTTCTAGATTTTAGCTATTGCTTGTGAAATCCATTTGGGTCATCTGATCAGAATTTGATAGAGGCGGGGGGGCGATTCTTATTAATATCTGCCATCACAAATTGCTTTAAACAGTACAGAGGAGAGAAGAAACAATAACTTAAACCATTAAAGGGGAGTACAGAAATGTACCTCACCATGTTAGATGCAAGTGAATAATTTTAATTGCCTTTACAGTGAGATAACGAGTTTAAGTTTTCATTTGTGAACAAGCGTTAGCTGGTTGATATTGTTACAAACCAGTGACACACCGAGAGCATGTAGTTTTATTTACGTGCAGAACAGTGAGACCTTATGCTATAATTTTCCCATACAGTGGTAACATGAATTCTCCCAAAAATCCACAAAATAGAAGAGTCCTCACGAAGGAGTACGGTTTCAGAGACAAAAACACTGTCTTGCCTTGGCAGGTACTACATACCTGCATAAGGGAAGGGAGAGCCATTTGCGGCTAGGCGTGGAAGCCCACGTCCCTAGCAATGCCAGTCAGCACAGTCTGCCATGCAAAGAGTCCGTACGCTGCTGGTTATACAGATAAGAAGTTACTCACCCCTTTCAAACCTATGAATAGGAGAAAATAAGAGAAAGTTATGACTTCTGTGAGCTACCATTTGCCTACGTCATCAGGAGACAACTGTAATATTGAGAGGTTTAATTGGAAGAAAGATCACATCACATGCAGTTGGCATTTTCTTCTTGGCTACTGCCAGAATAAAGAATGCTCTCTGTTCTTTATATCACAACTGGTTTTCTAACTTCAGCAGAACCTGATCTAAGGCAATTATTTCTCAACGTAAAAAACGGCCTCTCAATTTCATTACTCTTATTTGCAAGTTCATGTGTGACTAGAGAGGTATCCATTAGGGAATATCAGAAATGTAGTCCACAGTGAAAAATGCTTGGCAAAGCTCAGAAAATTAGCTTTTGGGGGTAGCATGGCAGAATTGCGTTGTGTGTGCTGCTTAGCAAGCGTAAGAATTGTTTAGGAAACCGGTATCTTGGGTATCTCAGGACCCAGATTATTTCAATTTTTCATGTTTTTGCCACTCTCTGTATGTTTTAGATTAGTGTGTTTTACATTAAATATTTACATTTATCTCATGTTTGAAAGTCCAGTATGTCACTGCGCAAGTTTTATACTCTTTTCTAGATTGGACAGTGAAAACTAGCCATTTTCAATGGGTTCTCTTAGTTTGACTTCCATGCTCAGTGATCCAGCATTTTGGTTTCAAGCATACTGTGTTAGTGGTTTAGCCATTATAAAAATTGCTCTTTACTTCATTTTTGTGTAACAAAGTCTGTCTATTGACTGATTTCCATGTAGCAGGTATGCCATCCATAACTAATTAAAAAAGCATTCTCTAAAACAGTGTGAAAGCTATTTTATGTCTTTGAACAAGAATAGAAATATCTTTAGACAGTTGATATTAATATTCACTGACTTACTGCAACAGGATCCACTTTGGAAAGTGCGACGCAGTCAGAAGTTGGACATGTCAGCTAGGTTGGAATTACAGTCTGCCCTTGATGCAGAAATTCGTGCCAAACAACTAGTTCAAGAAGAGCTACGAAAAGTTAAAGATGCAAACATATCTTTTGAAAGGTAATAAGGGCTTTGGTCCTGTTTGGGTTTTAACGTGCTGCTCTAAACTGCTGGTTAGAATAGTAACTTTCTTAAAAATGCCCCTTGTGCCTGGGATATGGGACTTTGCCAGAAAGATCCCATTCCACAGACTACGCCTTTCTTACATAGTCAAATGAGAACTGTAAAAATTTCTTCAGGTAAACATTTCACTGCTGTGAACAGCTATGTAATAAGATAGGATCTCGGGCACCTCAGGAAAAAAAAACCATAAGAGCAAATTCAAAGCAAATTCAGTACCTTTTCTTAGACTAACTGGAGAGTAGACATGTTCTTGGGAATTAAAAGCCAAACTACTATTAGAATAATTTTGTTTGGCAGATATCTGCAATGATAGCAGGAGACTCAAGTACAGTTTTCACTGTCTAGTCAAGTAGTGAGGTGCCTATTCAGGGGAAAAATAAAATTAATCAGCCTTACAAAAAAAATTTAAAAAATCACCACCACTTCTCTGAGATGTAGGACCAGAAATGAACAAGCCCATGCACTGGCATT